AATGTCCCATCACCTCCTGGAATCACTGAGGACACGACAGAGGAAGGAGAAACCCTCCTCTCTGTCCTTCACTGCTCCAGAAGTTGCTGTTTAGTTCACAAGATATAGTTTTGTTGTCTACAGCTGAAAGTGATTTAAATACAGAATTTCAAAAACATGTGACCAGGAGAATTAACATAATTAGTACATTGTGAGGTGATTTTTCTTGGGAATAATGCAATCAATGCACTACTCTAAATTAGACTGAACCTTGTAGAAAACAGAAAGCTGGAAATATGTGGAATGTCTTCCCAGATTTCTAGAAGTAAATTTCTCCCATATCCTTTTAGATTCCACTTTTTTCCCCGGGCGCTGTGCAGAGATCTTTGTCCGTGGAAAGAGCGTCGGCCGCCTCGGAGTTCTCCACCCGGACGTCATCAACCGCTTCGAGCTGACCATGCCCTGCTCTGCCCTGGAGATGGACGTCGAGCCCTTCCTGTGATTTCACCTCCCTTAACTTAAGCCCTTGATCAGTAAATGCATGTAAATGTGTGTTCTCAGAAAAGCACTGAGATCAATTGGGAGAATATAAGAGGTTGTTGAACAGATATCACGTGTTTGGTTTGTGTGCCTGCAGTGTGACACAGTCTCTAAACTAAAGGACCCATGTGTGGAGCCATTGTGTTTTTAATATCTCAGTAACACGGCTGTTTCTACTAAAGTCAGAAGAATTAAAAGTTAACAAGACTGCATTGTGTTTGTGACGTGGTTGGTGTGCATGTGTGTGTGTGGGCCTGTACATGCATGCTTGTTCATAATTTAGATTACGTGTGCCTTGGGGCTAGTGCATGGCAATTAAACCCAGTGACTCATTACCTGTTGCCTTGGTTCTTCCAGTGGCCTCACTGCCGAAACCCTCCTCACTCACGACGTCCCCATGCAGGAAGTCATCAAGCACAAGTTCCCCACGCAAAATGATTCCCGACAGGCGCCGGCTTCCTGCCCAACATCTACAAAAACTGTGTTTGGTGACATGAGCACGCCAGCTGGTCTTAAAGCTCTTGATGTTTTTCTAACGGACAAAAGCTACATGGAAGGATTTTCAGCATCTCAAGCCGACTTTGCGATGTTTGACGCCATCTCTTCTGCTCCCTCACCGAGCCTCTGCCACCTCCTGCGCTGGTACAAACACATCCAGTCCTTCCGGAGAGAGAGAGCTAGCCTCCCGTCAGCAGAGTGTCAGTTTTTCCTCCCAGCCGCAGCCTCGACAAACGCCCCTGGTGACGAAGATGACGACGACGACGATGACATCGATCTGTTTGGCTCGGACGACGAGGCAGACAGCGCAGAGGCGGAGAGAATCAAGGAGCAGCGGCTCGCAGAGTACGCTGCCAAGAAGTCCAAGAAGCCAGCTCTAGTTGCCAAGTCCTCCATCCTGCTTGACGTCAAACCCTGGGACGACGAGACGGACATGGCCAAGCTGGAGGAGTGCGTCCGCAGCGTCAGCGTGGACGGACTGCTTTGGGGGCAGTCCAAGCTGGTCCCGGTGGGCTACGGCATCAAGAAGCTCCAGATAGGATGCGTAGTGGAGGATGACAAAGTGGGTACGGATCTGCTGGAGGAAGCCATTACCGCTTTTGAGGACTATGTTCAGTCTGTGGACGTGGCTGCTTTCAACAAGATCTGAGTCGTGCACAGAATAGATTCACTGAGTGGTTCCATCTGATGTTTTCTGGTCTGGCTTGAGACAGAGCTGATTCTGTATGAAACACAATGTTCAGTTACCAAAACTCAGGTCCTACATTTAAAACAAGTATTGATCCTTGGTACAAAAGATTCTTGCCTTAAAACATCGAATAAAACCATTCTAACATTTAATTTTTTTTTAGTCTTTTATGATGTGCGGTTTTTAGTTTTTTTGTATGAGGTAACAAGTTCAGATACCCACATTCATTTCATCTGTGGATGTTTTAGTGTCAACTCAAAGGCAGAATTTGGAGCCAGTAAATTCCCATATGAAAGGGAGCAGCGCCACTAACAAGCTGTCTTGTAAATGAGGTCTGACAGGTGCTCCGGCATTCCTTCAGACTGTACTGTAGTAAAGGCAGGTTAACTCTTTCATTCCGGTCCAGCCAGTCCTGAACACTAACCAGGCCAATATGCTGTAACAGATAGCATGTTCCAACATGCCAAGTCATATGCCTCACAGGAGGAACACCGATAGGTGCCCTCGAAACGAAGTCGCAGAGTTTCAGGTGAACTGGTTTTGATCTGACCGATATGAGTTCGGAGGCTTGTGAAAGACATGACGGTCAACCAGGTTATGGAATTTCTTTTTTGAGCATTTTTATGCTCTGAAATAGACGACACTTAAAAGTTCTACGAGCCTCGACTACGATTCAAACACTGAGAATCAGGTCATAAAAATGTTCTTGGTCAATGAGCAAAACTGTATTTGCTTTCAGCTCAGTTACAGGTCAGTCACATGAGCCACGTTGTGAATCATTCCCTGCGAGAACTGATTCTGAAACACACCATGTAAAAAAAAAAAAAAGAAGATCATCTGATACACACTCAAATAAATATGAGGTCCATTTTTGTCATTGCAAGTTCATAGCATCGTCAGTCTTGTATTATCAGGTCAAAGCAGCCCCAGCAGAAAGAAGACTCTATTGACCAATATCGAATTAACAAGTCCAACACTTGTATATGTAGCAAATTTATACGGCACTTCAATTTCTCTCCTCCTCCTGGCACTTTCATTACTTCTTGGCACTCTGTACCACGAATACAAGACCTGCAGACTCAGTGCTTTAACTATCTGTCGTGTTCCCACTAGCGCCACAACTCCTAACAGGAAGCGGGCTGCGCTTACTGTCAGTGCGTGAGCTGTCAGTGTGGGTAGAGGTACAGGTAACTCGCCTTGGGGCTCAAAAGTCTGCCCGAGCTGCACATTCACCCAGTATCCCACTGAGCATCCAGCCCAGGCCCCGAGAATGGTGGTGGTGTCGCCGCGCGTGGTGCAGTAGTGGTCCAGCTCTGGGTACGTGTAGCTGAGAAAGAGGGGCAGTGCCAACGCCAGGATGGGGGAGATGCGGCTGGTGAGTTGAAAGTGGTCGAAGGTTTCCCAGTGAGGGTAGGTGAAAAACACGAGGACAGCAGAGATTAAAGCGCCACAGATCACATCCTGAAAGCAGAATAATGACGAGAGATCACATTTTGTGCATTTGTTTTCTTATTAGATGAGAAAATTGATACCAGTCAGAAGAAACAGTTAGCAGCACCTTTAGAGCTCACTCATTAATACAGTACGTTCTCTTTGGTTTCATTTGTAAAATAAAAGAAGGTTTAAGAAAAGACAGGTTGTAATTTCCATCTGAATGTTCCAGACATGTTCTCGTCTGGCCTGGATTATCTCCTGCTGCGTTCTTCGTATGTGAAAGGAAAACTACAGAAAATGTTCGGACCCAATTTTTTGAACATTTTCTGAAGTTCATGTCTGAAAATACTGCACCCAGCCATGGCAACCCCCCTCTAGCTCGTACCACCAATCACAAACCGTCAATCACACCCTTTTGTTTTTACGTTTCTAATTTCCCACTGATTAGTTGATTATTGAACCTTGAAACATCCTGTTAAATTTATTAAGTAGATTTCAGTCTTCATGATTATCTAACCAGCTGCTGCAGCGTTAAATTTAACAGACTATTGCTTCAAGTTTTTTGAAATGTAAGCAAAT